CTCCACTTTTAATTTCAGCCATTAATAAAATGAAAATATTTCCTTAGAGAGAGAATTGTTTACCAGTATATATTTTTAAAAATACTTTGAATTTTTTAATAAATCAGTCAAATGTGGAAACCACAGTTACTTTAGGAATGTGAAAGCCTTTAGGAATGTGAAAACCTTTCATTAGAGTTCCCTTACTTAGTGTAAAATGTTGGATTTCATTGAGTATCTTGGAGGAAGATGAAGACAGCCCATGACTTTCATCTTCATTGAGTTTATCTAGCTTGCTAGGGAATATCTTCTTCCTTGCAGGTCCTTGTATGTTGGAAGTTATGATGTTGACAAGTGGGACCACTGTCACTATTAAAGCTACAAAATCATACCATAAAATTAATAATGAATAAAGTTGAATATCTTTTTAGCAGACCTACTGAATATATATTTTCAAATAATATGTTTTCAAAATACAATACTAGATTATTGCAGAGATTAAAAAAATTCCTTGTCCTCAAAGAATGTATAATTTATTCCAGGAATAAAAAATTCCCAAAACTTGTATAAAATATAATCGTTATAAGTATTTTGCTAAATCTATGAATATAATTCTGTGGGGAAGATGAGGAAGAAAGCATTAATTTTGAATCTCAGTGCAGAGTAACCATTCAACAAATTCTTAAGTAAATTGAAATAAAAAATACACGTTATTAAACAAGACATACTGTATAAATATACCCTTTAATTCTACATCTTTAGAAAAGAAAGATTCGATATACAATGTCAACACATCTTTGTTTATAAGCAGACTGAAACAACTGTCTTACTTTGTATTCTGGTTTTTTCATATAACTTCTTTTGCGCAGTCCAATTTTGCAATTGGAATCTGCCCAGTGTAGTCAATTCTTAGATCCTTAGAGAAGTGTTCTATGTAAGAGCCAGATTTTCTTACATGATAAACTTTGCCAGAGAAGCAGCCTAAAGAAATATATTTTTTATCAAAAGAAGTAGTACAATGTAATACCATTTAGTGCATACATGTGTGGAAAAATAGACTAAGGTAAGCTGAGTAGTCCCTATAACTGGAAAATTGGTGTTTTTAAAGGATTTTTATTTATTAATAGTTACAATGTTAAAATAAATTATTAGATAAAAAGTTTTAACATTCTTCTCATTTTACATATTTTAATCTTTTTTGGAAAGTCATAAATGATTTCTTTTCTCAAATGACTATAGAAACCAAAAGGACATCAAAGTAAGATAGTAGTTAAATTGAATTGTAATCTATTGGACATCTGTGCCATTATCATAAAAACTATTTTACTATCAGGATGTGAGCTCTAATGTATTATAGAAAGGAAAAAACAGAGAAAAACAAAGATCTACAATAAATTCTTTTTAATCTTATAGGATAAAGTTCAAACCTTTGCGTCAAGCATTAAGTATCCTATAAATCCTGTCCCCTACTGATATTCTCAAATCTTAATTTCTAATAGTCTTGTACATAAAGTATTCCCTCTAGAACTCATCTTCTCTTTGTCACCCATCTCAGGTGAATTCTTACCTCTATGTTATAGAACCCCTCACTCCTCCCCTGCCTCCTTTCTCTCTCTTTTCTGTTTTTATGAATCCTACCTCCCTTTGGGAGCAAATTTATGGAAACATCCTCTATGAAGCCAGATACAAACAATCCAACTCCAAAATACAAATTGAACCAAGATATTTGTAGCAAAAACAATACATATAAGATCAGCGTCTTAAGAGTGTATAAAGAATTCCTACCAAATTGATATATAAATATTAATTGTGTTTAGTTTGGGTTCCCCAGCAGAAAAGTTTAGAAAATAATTCAAGCAATATATTTAGAAAATGATCTAAGAAAATACTAGTTAAAGATGTGTTATCAAGCTATTTACTAGTATGGACCACTGGTCCTTAGTCTTTCTGGGAAACTCTGGGAAACAGTTTAAACACATATCACAGAGTTGTTAAGCACAATGGGTGAGGGAACTGAGGTATTTATACTCCTTCTAGTCATTAGCTGAGACCTATTCATAGGGACATTAATCTCTTGTAACCAGCAATATAACTTAAGTAAACTCTGGTACACCAGAATATATGTTAAAAATAAATAGAACATATAATAGAAACGCAAACAAAAAACTAGAAGCAGCTGTAATGTTCAATTAGATAGAGAATGATAAATAAATAGTGGTATATTCATACAATGGAATACTATGCTATGGTGATCAGTCATCTACATCAAAATGAATGAATTTCATTTAACTAATCAGTGAATTATTTAATAATATGAATTATTAAAAGTCTCAGAAAAATATTCATAGTATGATTTGATTTATATAATGTTCAAAAACATGCAAAACCATGTGACTTTTTTTCTTTTTTTAGGGATTTATATAGGTGTGGTAAAACTCCTTAAAAAGCAGAAGGGTAAACATCATTCAGGAATTTGTGGAGCAAATAGATGTAGTCAGGGAGGGACACCTAGAGGGTGTTAAAGGCACCGATTCTATTTATTAAATTATACTGTGGGTACATATATACTCTTTTATTTTTTTTAACATCTTTATTGGAGTATAATTGCTTTACAATGGTGTGCTAGTTTCTGCTTTATAACAAAGTGAATCAGCTATACATATACATATATCCTCATATCTCCTCCCTCTTGCATCTCCCTCCCACCCACCCTCCCTATCCCTCTCCTCTAGGTGGTCACAAAGCACTGAGCTGATCTCCCTGTGCTATGCGGCTGCTTCCCACTAGCTATCTATTTTACACTTGGTAGTATATATAAGTCCATGCCACTATCTCACTTTGTCCCAGCTTACCCTTCCCCCTCCCTGTGTCCTCAAGTACATTCTCTATGTCTGCATCGTTATTCCTGTCCTTTTTTTTTTTTTTTTAGATTCCATATATATGTGTTAGCATACTGTATTTGTTTTTCTCTTTCTGACTTACTTCACTCTATGACAGACTCTAGGTCCATCCACCTCACTACAAATAACTCAATTTCGTTTCTTTTTATGGCTGAGTAATATTCCGTTGTACATATGTGCCACATATTCTTTATCCATTCATCTGTCAATGGACACTTAGGTTGCTTCCGTGTCCTAGTTATTGTAAATAGAACTGCAATGAACATTGGGGTACATGACTCTTTGAATTACGGTTTTCTCAGGGTATATGCCCAGTGGTGGGATTGCTGGGTCATATGGAAGTTCTATTTTTAGATTTTTAAGGAACCTCCATATTATTCTCCATAGTGGCTGTATCAATTTACATTCCCACCAACAGTGCAAGAGGGTTCCCTTTTCTCCACACCCTCTCCAGCATTTATTGTTTCTAGATTTTTTGATGATGGCCATTCTGACTGGTGCGAGGTGATACCTCATTGTAGTTTTGATTTGCATTTCTCTAATAATTAGTGATGTTGAGCATTCTTTCATGTGTTTGTTGGCAATCTGTATATCTTCTTTGGAGAAATATCTGTTTAGGTCTTCCGCCCATTTTTGGATTGGGTTGTTTGTTTTTTTGATAAGGAATTGCATGACTGCTTGTAAATTTTGGAGGTTAATCCTTTGTCAGTTGCTTCATTTGCAAATATTTTCTCCCATTCTGAGGGTTGTCTTTTCATCTTGCTTATGGTTTCCTTTGCTGTGCAAAAGCTTTTAAGTTTCATTAGGTCCCATTTGTTTATCTTTGTTTTTATCTCCATTTCTCCAGGGGGTGGGTCAAAAAGGAACTTGCTGTGATTTATGTATAGAGTGTTCTGCTATACTCTTTTATATACATAAAACATTTCATAACCAAAGATTGGTCAGAGGAAGAGAAACCATGCAATGAAACTCAGATATAGTGTTCCAGGAGTAGGGGGAAGAGCAGGAATAGTATATTAGAAGTCCAGAAGGAGAGAACAATCAGTGATGGCAACTGTTGCTAGGCAGTGTGGGTTATGAAATGAAATGAAGTTAATGGAATTAGGGCTTAAGAGCCTTTGGTGAGTGCAGTTTCAGTAATAGAGTTAGGGTAGATGCCAGAAAGCAATAGCTTGTGGAGTAAAGTAAAAAATAGTGAGTAGAGGCAGCTCTTTAAATAATTTTGTCAGCAAATTCAAGGAAGGAGATAGGTCGGAATTTTAGGGGAAGGCAGATATGAACAGTATTTAGAAGTATTTTGTGAAAGAACATGGTCTTGTCTAAAGCCTAGATAAAAACATTAAAAATTTTAAGTAGAAATTTAATTATTAAAAAATAATATCCTTTTAAGAAAAATCCTGGAGTTAAATCTTTTTGGTAAAACTGATTTAAACATTTCAAGTAATTGTTTTATCTAAGTAGTAGGATTTTCCCATAGGATATTTTCTCAACTCTTTTAATGTTTCTTAAAGTCTTTAGGATTCGGTTTAATTACTGTGACAATGTTTTTATTCAATGCACATGAATTGGATCAATTTGAATTATAATGTACATGTATGTTGGGCCTGCATTAAAGAAATTATCAGTTAAAGGGACAAAATACTCCTTCCCTTTTCATGTTGGGCAGCTTTAGTCATCATTGTCACAAACTGTAGACAAATTTTAATGATTAACTGAATGAGTAGATAGCATTTCCTGACTATATATGTGAATATGCTATTGGGAAAAAACATTAAATTTAAAATTACAAAACATGTCATACAACTTGAAATTTCCATAAAAATATCTCACTGGTGTGCATAAGGTTAGGGCAACAGTAAGAAATGATGTCTCTGACTTTGGCAATAACATAAATCTCAGCATAGGAAAGTAGTGTGGAGGTGGGTGAATGCCAATTTATTTAAATAACAGGCAAAATTTTCAAGCTGTAACAACATGCTCAGTAAATTCTTCCATTACTGTGATACCAAAGGAGAGTTGAAAATTTATTACACTTCTATTTTTTCTCCTTAGAGATATATTTTTTTGTTCTGTTTCTATGGCAACATCTATGCAATGACTAAACCTTTAACTCCTTTCTAGACTCCCTGATGGCTTCACACAGCTTCTAAACCTGACCCAGCTCTACCTGAATGATGCCTTTCTTGAATTTCTTCCAGCCAATTTTGGAAGGTAAGAATAAGAAGTTTAAACGATACAGTTTTCTTTCACTTTAGGTAAGTACTGTACCAGCACCAGTAGGTGAGGCTTCAAAAGTGACCGTTGGAATTAAATACACCCTCATTCTTGTCCAGTAAATGAGACCATGTCAATTAATGAAACATTTTGCAAAAAATAAAGTTAGGTCTTTACATGTCATTAATAATCAAATTCCAGATGAATTAAAGAGTTAAATATAAAATCAGAAATGATCTGGAAAAATATGCACATGGATATTTTTGACTCTTGGGTTGGAAAATGCCTTTATAGCATAGAAACAAAAGGAAATATCATAAATGAATAGATTTGAATTAGTAAAATGCTTTTAAAATAAAATATTAGAAAATATTTTTTAAATTAAAGTAAAACAATAAATAGGAAAATATTTCCACTGAATATGGAAAGTAAATTATATCCTTAACTTATAAAGAATTCTTACAAATGAGTATGAAGTTAAACTTCTCATTAGGAAAAAATGGGTAAATGACACATACTGGCAGTTCATAATAAATGTACAAATTGGCAACACAAAAATTGTTTATCATCATAACTAATAAAAATAGTACAAATTAATACGGCAACAAAGGGCCTTTGTGCTCTAGCATGTTATAAAAAGTGTAAAGTTATTTATAGACTATGAGGAAAGAGATAACCTCACACTGCTGATGAAACTGCAGAATGTTATATACTCCTTGCAGGGCAGTGTGCTTTAAAAGATTTGAAAATATTGGGCTTCCCTGTTGGCGCAGTGGTTGAGAGTCCGCCTGCCGATGCAGGGGACACGGGTTCGTGCCCCGGTCCGGGAAGATCCCACATGCTGTGGAGCGGCTGGGCCCATGAGCCATGGCTGCTGAGCCTGCGCGTCTGGAGCCTGTGCTCTGCAACAGGAGAGGCCACAACAGTGAGAGGCCCACGTACAGCAAAAAAAAAAAAAAGATTTGAAAATATTTACAACTACTGCCTTTGTAATTCATTCCTAGAAATGTATCATATCATCATGTATCACACTAGGATTTATGGACAAGGATGTTTATCATTATTTACAATATGAAAAATATGGAAGCACACATCCATCTAGGAGATTGGTTGAATATATTATGGAACATCCATATGACAATACCATGTAGCAATTTATAATCTTGCCTAGAGGAATATCTTTTAATTCCTATGATGTTATGTTCAAAACATATCATAGCTATATATAAGCTGTATTTTCCATACTAATATGAATGTACATGAAATAAAAGACTATTTCCTTGGAAGTGAAATTATGGATGATTTTTATTTTCATCTTTATATTTTCAATGTTTTCTAGATGTTCTAGAGTGAATTTTTTTTCTTTCAGTTGTATTGAGATATAATTGACACAACACTATATGAGTTTAAGGTATATAACATAGTAATGACAAATTTATTACAAAATGATTAGGACAATAAATTTAGTTAACATCCATTACCTCATATAATAACAAAGAAAAAGTTTTTTGCCTTGTGATGAGAATTTTTAGAATTTACTCTCTTAGGAGCTTTCAAATATACCATGTGCCATACAGCAGTGTTAACTATAGTAATACTGCTGTGCATTACATCCCTAGTACTTATTTATCTTATAACTGTAAAGTTGTGTCTTTTGACTACCTTCACCCAGTTCCCCCCACCCCACCCCCACCTCTAGTAACCACAAGTCTGATCTCTTTATCTATGAGGTTTCTTTTTTCTTTTTATATTTCACATGTAAGTGAGATTACGCAGTATTTGTCTTTCTCTGCCCAACTTATTTCACTCAGCATAATGCCCTCAAGGTCCATCCATGTTGTTGCAAATGGCAGGATTTTCTTCTTTTTTATGGCTTTATATATATATATATATATATACACACACACACACACACACACACACACACACACACACACACACGCATACATATATATGCACATATTTTCTTTATCCATTTATCTGTCAATGGAAACTTTCTTTCCATGTCTTGGCTATTTTAAATATAAAAGATATATCTTGAAAGTTAAGACATTTTAAGTTTATTGTTAACTGCATTTTTCTAAATGATCATCTTTAAAATTGTTCAAATAACTGACTGAGTGTAACTCGACACCAATCTGTTGGCAGAAGCTAATATATGACATTAAGAAGAACCCAGTGGAATAATGAAGTCCCTTAACAGGTAGCAGCCTCCATTTGCATACAGAAATCACCTCGAAAGTTTTTTCCAAATTCCCTTACTTTTGTAGATCATGATTTCACAATACCTACAAATACCATACACTTGGGCAGTTCTGAAAATTCACAGATATTCAAAAGAGCATTTGCCTCATTTCTAAATGAATTGATACTTCACCATTTGTCCACATAAAGTAGATTTTCCTCTGGTACTGATGGTAACACTACAAATATACCTTTGGTTTATTAAATCAGGAAATGTTTATCTCCCTAAGACACACTTTTGCATTTTGTCCATTCTTTTTTACTAATCCTAATATAGGGGAAGAAATTTGGGCAAACAGATAACATAATATCAAAACCCAAACCACTTAGAAATTAGAATTCAATTTTATGTGAATTGTCTGCCAAAAAAATGCTCTTTTTTATTATTGTAATCTAAAAAGCTCTATAACTTTCAGCTGGATAATTTAACAAAAGAATGTTTTAAGATACTTTCCAAAACCTGAGATTTAGTGCCCCTAAAGGCCAATCTAAGTCATAAAATATTATTACAACAGTACAAATATGAAGATTTGAGATATATAATTGTTTAAGAAACTTCTTTAGTGATATACCCATGCTCTGAAGAACTAAATCACTTTATTTCAAATAAAGATTGAGTTATAAGATTAAAAATAAATTGGAAATTTGGTAGAACTCAAAACACAAAGGAAAGGAGAAGAGAACTAGTTGAATATCTAAAAGCACAGTAAATATGGGACCTTGTAGGTGAATTGTATAGTTCAAATAGTGAAATATTCCCACATCACTAAGGATTTGGATAATTCAATTAATATTTGTCCTAAAGTAGCCTCAACTGAGTACATTTTAAAGCTCAGTATAGGCATTAGTAACAATAGCATGTCCCAGATTGCAAACACTAACAAATACTTAAATGTGAAAATGCATTTCTAATTACAAATGTTATGCAAGCAACAGAAACTGTGAACACTTCTCATCCCCTTCACAAGATTATCCCAACTCCAGTACTGTCATAGGATAGATGATACTATACATTTTTAAATGTGCATCCACTTGAAATGTTCAGATGTTAATCTGAGTCAATTAAATATGGTATATTATAGCACTTTTCCCATTTTTCAATTAAAGAATAGTAATAACGTAACACATACTAAAACTTATGGTGTGCCAGGCATTATGCTTTACATGTGTGACATCATTTAATATTCGAAACCCTATAAATTTTGTACTATTATCACATACTCATTATAGATGAGGAAACTGGAGTTATGAGGAGTTAATTAATTTGCCCAGTGTCACACGGCAAAAAACAGATAGGATATGAAAGAGTCTGAATTTTACCCAGATCTGTCTGATCACAAAGCTCAAGCTTTTAACCAGTATGCTATATTATTTGCGTTAAAAATTCATTTATTGTCTCTTGAGGGGAAGTATCACCATGTTTCAGTGAATGCAGCATCTAGTATTTAGTAGATATTCAATAATCTGTTGAATGCATACAATCAAACAACAGTGAATATAATTTTATAAAACATAGGAGATTTAGATTACTTGGTCTCGATATCTTTGAAAGAACTTTATTTTTAGGAAAGGGATATTTGTTATTCTCCAATGTTGATGCAACCCTACTCATAACCAATTTGCATAATTCTTAAAAATCTGTAACCATGGTATGTAATGTTTGGGCATAGTTGTTTGGATAATAAAGTAACAGTTTACCATAAGAATATTGTTTTATAGAGAAATATTAAGAAGCAATTTTTAAATTTATTTCTACAGACTTGCCAAATTGCGGATATTGGAGTTAAGAGAAAATCACTTGAAAACTCTACCAAAGTAAGTGGCTGAGTATTTTCTAAGTTTGAATTGTGATTTTTCACTAGTAGGAAAAAGACAGCTATTTTTATCTTGGCTATGCTTTGTCATTATGATTGAGTTAATATTTCTACAATTTTTTTCTAGGGGCTAAAATGTACAGTGTATTATAAGGGATTCATATCAAGAATGTATCTGCTTTATAAAACTGTGTAATTACAAGTAAATGTGGGAAGAGCCCATTTAAGATTCTTCTTAAACATACACACCAGGAAGTTACTGCATTGAAACTTAAGAAACTGACATTTTTATAGCCCCCAAACAATCAACAGTTTCAAAAGGTTCAACCTAATAGAATGCTTAACATATCAAGTTAATTTATGGTTTGCGATAATTTTGTTTTTAAATCAAAAATACACAAAAATATTTCATAAAATTGATGTTTTTAGAGATCCTAAAATGATTTGGCAGAAAATTTATATTTATACATTCTTTCAAACTATACCTTTTTAACAGTCTGTTTAAAATCTGGTTTACATAAAAATACAGAATATTTTTATGTAAAAACTAATCTCCAACATTTTATTCAATGTTTAGTTTAATAAACTTGTTTCATCCTGCTTTGCCTTATTTATGTCTAATGATAGAATTTTGTGCTGTACAGAAAAAAATATCTTTGAAAGTCAAAAATTATTTAAAGTGGGGATTTTTTTACTCAAATAAATAATTATGACTTGTATATGCTACAGTTAAAATATTGAAAGTACTATGTTGCTATTTTAACCCTCCTGCAGTATTGCTGAAAAATATTGAGTACAGTGATTAATTTTTGAAACATATCAGCAGGATTTAGAGACCTTTCGTCTGCTGAACCAAAACTTAATTTTAATTTTTTCTTTTTATATTCCTTCTCTAAGAAAACTACACTGAATTCGTTGATTTTTTTCAGCCAGTATATCAGTCCAATACTATCAAGTACATTTTGTTACATAGATATGTATGAAAATTCTGTCAGGGCAATATAAAGCTTTCAATAATTATACGGATTTAATTTAAATATATACATAGAGATAAAACATCTATTCATTCCTCCATAAGTGGAAGACAAGGAGAGAACGTGAAAAGGAGAAATGTCACCATATCTGGATAACCTGCACTTTTGAGTGGTCTTTCTGTAAGCCAAAGCACTATGCATAGTCTTGGAAGGCACCTCTTCCACGTTGGGGGCACAAACAGAAATGTGAATATGGTTGAAAGTGTTACTTGTTCAGCATTAATCTACTGCAAATGCATTTCCATCCCCCATGTTTTAAATGTCTCCATTTAAAGTAGAGTGAAAACAAGGCTAATTACACACTAAACTATGGTGAAAGAGCAATTGTCTCCTTCACCTAAACATGAACATTTGGGTCAAAGAGAAAATATTGATGGTGTGGAGGAGAATCCTTTCCCCTCTGCTCTTAAATAAGTTTTGATATGAAATAAAAAATAAATCTGACACAGGTTGTCAGGTTTTTAAATATGTATTTTTAAAATATAAAATTTAAATGTAAAGCCTGACCATAGATGGGTAATATGGACTTTATATTACCAGAGTAATATGGTAATGTATTACCAGAGTTCAGAGTAATGAGTAACAATGCTCATAATTGGTGAATGGGTATTCTGTAGGCTGTGAGACAGTGGCCCAGTATCAAACAGAATTCAAATAAGTAGAATAATATGCATTTAACTTTGTTTGGCATTTTAAAAAAACACTTGTAAAGATGTGTGGAAATGACACAGAGTCTCCTTGGTAGACTGTTATATTTGTACAATTTGTATAGCTGTTACAGTTTTTACATTTAAAAAATCTGCAAAATTATTTTCAATCTAGTATGCTTATTTTTTACCTTATAGACAAAAATCAAAAGAACCAAGGACATGCATAATGTATGGTGAACTTTATCCTAGTTTTGATGTCTATAAAAATGAGAATTGCAGAAAGTTCTGTCGTGAATAAAGATAAACTCTGTTTTTATTATGTATTATATGTAGTACCTTCTGATCACCAATCTAGACCTGTAATAGAGAGACATATGAGAGCTTTCTACTATCCTTTATTTTTACACTTCTAATGAAAATAAAGGAAGAAAGATAGTTTTTGGAAAAAACAATTTTAGCTTTTTAATAATTACTCCAAGAAGAGATAGCTCATGATTTCCTCATGGACACAAACAAGATGTCAAATGTTTAGCAGGTCTTCAGTGATTTTTCTCTTCTTTTCATCTTCTGTCTTAAAGTCTAAATGCCTGTAAAGCTATGAAAAATGTAAAAATGTGAAGAATTATGATATAACATACATTAAAATGTCTCTTTAAGGTAAACTGATAGAGACTTTTGATATGTGCAGATTTTAGGACAAATTCTTTCTGTTATTAAATAGAATTTAGCATTATCAATTTTTTCACACTGTTCCTTTCCTAAGGTACACATTTGCTTAAAACTCATTGACACAGTCATTCTTGATTGTGTGTAATAATTGAGGACATTGAATATCTGGAAAAAACTAGATAACCAAAAAGAAAAAAACCTTTGACTTCTATGATAAAATTTGTCCTCATAGCAGAATTATCCTCTTAATTAATTTTGAAGGGTCGTCCAAAAATGAATTTGTTCCCATTTTGGAGCTTTTGCACTATTTGTTTCTCTCTGGAATTCTCTTATCTCAAATCTTTTCAGGCTAGAGCTTCCTCAGGATTCCTATCTTTCTTCAAACGGTGCCTCCTTGGAGGCTTTCCCCGATCACATCATATAAGGTTGCTCCCCCTTAGCCTTTATACCATTTCACTCTTCCGTTAGATTTTTCACACTTATGGTTATCTAAATTGTATTGACCTTTTGTTTGCTTGGAGATGATCTCCTCAGGAGAACATAAGTTCTGTTCAGAAAAGGAATTTTTTGTTTTGTCACTGCTGAATCTCCCGTGCCTAAAGCAGTGCCCAGCATATAGGGGAGTACTCAATGAATAAACAAGAATGCTGATATATTGATTCACAATGAGAAATATCTGTCATGTGACCTGGACATTTTGTGTCACTTGATTATTTTTTCCCATAGAAAATAATATAAGATACAAAATATTAAAATAAGATGAGTCTTTGGTGAGCATCATGAAGGCAAAAAGAGTAAATAGTTAGTGGATTCTCAATGGCTGATAGCTGGGCCTTGAATTTTAAACCCACACACACACACACACACACACACACACACACACACACTCTCTCTCTCTCTCTCTCTCTCTCTCTCTCTCTCTCTCTCTTCTTCAGGTGGTTTCAAGTTACATATAATAACCAAGTCATGACAATGGAAGAAAATAATTTCAAATTAAGGCAATTAATACTTATAACAACTAAAGAAAATCCAAAAGTATTATGACTTATTTCTTTGACTTTGTCATTAAAAAGTGATACATTTAGTTAAGAAACGTATGTCAAGATGAAAATAAAGGGATAAGATAATATTTTAAAATGAAATTGAGGAACCGTTTCCATGGAAGTAACGTAACAGCATACAAATGGTTAGTAATAATGATGGGTTTTATCTTTAAATAAACATTTTCCATTTTTATGAGAATTTTTCTAAAACCTTAAAGTTAAAATATGGCCTGTCTGTTGATAACATAACGAAGACTGTGACTTTGTTGCAAATTGAGCCAAAATATGATGTTGTGTAAATTTGTCTGTGATAATTATAAAAATATGAAATCATATGAAGAAAGGAAACACAGGTTAAGCTAATATTAATGTTTATATTTGCCCTGCCACCTGGGAACACAAGGCATGAAATGTGATTCCTCGATCCACTGTCATAATAGAATAACTAAGAGAGGAATATTTCAAACATGTTGCAGTGGAATTGCTGGGGAAATATCAATAAGTAAGTAAACCCTGGTGAACAAATCCAAAAGGGGAAAAATGGATGAACTTGGTGGATAAGGAACTCTAAGAGTTGTTAGAAGAAAGGATTCAATTAGAGAAATGATAAGTCTGAAGTAACAATGACTTCTTTTAGATCCTAGACTCTTTGTGAAGCTGGAAAAAGCTATGGAATCCAGAAACATATTAATTGTAAAATCCGAATTGTCTCTGTTTCCAATATATTCATAACCCATTGTGAGTTTTCACATTTTGATTTTCACCTAGAAGTAGATTTGGCTTTTTATGTAAAATAAACCTTGTCAAAATACCTAGTATACTATGACAGAGCACCAAAAAGAGGGCCCTCTCAATTTTAGAGAACCAAATTTGTTGAGTGGATTGTTTTAATCATATAACTGTTTCTAGTATATTCACTCAAAAGATAACATTTTATTGAGCAAATTTTCTTTGGGGTTATTAATAGAATTTTATTTCACTATCATCTATGACAATTTTTGGACTCTCCATAGAAAAAAATCATTAAGGAATAATTGAAAGGAAAACTTGCCAAGTATAAGCATGAATGATACTTTGAAACTTCTAGGCTATGTAAGCTTGAAAACTAGTAAATGATGTATCTATTATTTACATGATTTTATTCCTTGAGCATCATTGCTTTTATTGTGTTCCCCCCCACCCAAAGACAAAGGTTCAGAAACTCTACAGTATTCCCCCTCTGTGAATCTCTAAAGACACACACACAACACACATATATTCACAGAAGGCGCAGAAGCATAGTACGTTATCTGGAAATGCTCTAAGAAAAAGATCCCCTTGAATTATAAATATAAATTGAAACCAGAGGTACATTAAAGCACTGTTAATGAGAGACACTAGATCATGAAAGTTAAGAAAAGATGGAGGGAATGTTTCAGACTGAAGAAGACTAAAGAGGCATTATAACTAAAAGTAGTGTTTCTGAATTGGTTCTTCTGCTATTAAAAAAAAAATTTATTGGGACACCTGGCAAAACTTGCAAAACTTGGGTAGGGTCTGATGATTAGATGATAGCAATGTATCAATGTTAATTTCCTAATTTGGAGGGTTGCTTTGGTTTGGTAG